CCCCCTGCCCTCACACGTCTGCCATTGCCCTCCCCCCTCGAACAGGACTCCTTCGACCCCTGCCAGACGCCCACGCAATCCCTCGGCCCGGTGCCCACGCGCGACACCGATGGGCACTTCTGCCTGGCTTGGAGCCCCTCGCGCTCCGGGGCCTCGGTCCTGGCGGTCGGCTGCCAGCGGGAGAACTGTGTGAAGGTACATCGTCGTCCCCCCGCCCACCCCCGATGCTGTGCGCGTGGTCTCCCGCTCACCAGGTGTCTCCCGGTCCCCCCCTGCCACCGCCACCCGGGCGCGTGTCCTCCTCTCGTCGGCTGCCCTGTCGCCGCCCTCCCTGCCGCGGGCACGCAGCTCTTCACCTACGTCGAGAACCTCCGCAAGTGGGAGCACATCGCCAGCCTGGCCCACACGGCGGCCGTCAATGACCTGGCCTGGGCGCCGGAAATCGGCCGCACGCACAACCTCCTGGCCACATGCAGCCGCGATGGCCGGGTACGCATCTGGCGCGTTCCGCTGGCTCTGGAGCCGGCGGCCGCTGGCGGGCTGCTGGAGCCGGCGGCCGGGGCCGCGCGGCCGCGGTCCCCCCCGGCGGCCGGGGCCCCGCAGATCACCGTCCAGGCCTCGGTCCCGGCCTTCCCATGCACCCTGGCCGATGATGAGGGGGCCCTTTCCACCATCTATCCCCTGCTGGACGACGTGCACTCGGCCGGGCAGTCTGTCTGGCGGGTGTCCTGGAATCTGACCGGCACCACGCTGGCCTCCTCCGGGGACAACGGCTGCGTGCGCCTGTATGGCTGTGCGTGCTTGCTTCCCCCCTCTGCCCCGCTCCCCTGTGATGTCTTGCCCCGCAGCGGGCCATGCCCCCTCTGTCGTCGCGTGACCGGGGGCAAGACATTTGGCCAGTGAGCTGCGCCTACTAACCCCGTGCACTGGTGGCCCCCCTTTTGGTGGCTGCCTCCCCCCCCCCCCCGCCCCCCAGCCAACCTCCTCGGTCGGTGGACCTGCTTCAATGTGCTGGCCTCGACATCGACCTCGCGCCCGGCGAGCGAGTTGATCCCCTTCCGCACGTGACGCGGCCCCCGATGGGCGCAGATCACGCCGGACCATAATCGAGTCATCCCCCTACATGGCGCGTGTGCCTGTTCGTCGATGCTTGCGAGAGCGAGCCCCCTGAAGGGCGCGCAGGCCCTCGTAGAGCCTGGGCGGCTGTGCGCGCGCGCGCGCGTGCTGGCGCCTTTTTCGTGCGATTTTATTTTATTTTTTTTCAAAATACGAGACGGCGACTCCGAGACACCGAGAAGCTCGTAGGATGGGCGTATTGTTTTTTCGTCACTCTACGAGAGGGGCTGGCAGAACGAGAGCAAGTATCAGCTTCATGACCCGAGCGAACATGGGATGCACGAAATGGTGAGCCGGGCGAAGGCGGTAGTAACCCGGGGGGGGGGGGGGGGGGGG